TCGCAGGTACATACAGCTACCAAGACGAACAAGGTAGCAGAAGATGCCGAAGATTCGTTTTCCAGCAGTGAAGACGAGGGAGTCTCAAATGAGAAAACGACGCAAGCTGCGCGTGAATATCGAGTTACGCAGGTGATAGCAAAACCGCGGATTAGTACTGGCCTGGATCTTATCACATTACCGATCCAAGAAGTGAAAAAAGGAAAACTTAATTTTTTATTAGATTCAGGCGCAACAGTAACACTGATAAAGGTAGGAAACCTAAAAGACAGTACTAAAATTAAAAAAGAGCGTATGGCACTTACAAGAGTAACAGGACATAGGAAACACACGATCGGAAAAATTAGAGCAACGGTGTTGCTTGGCGATCAAAAAGTCCGACACACTATGTTCGTAGTCAGGGATGATTTCCCCATGGAACATGAAGGGATACTGGGAATTGACTTCCTACAAAGGCAACGAGCGAAATGCGATTATGGACGGAAGCTTGTCCGTATAGGCAATATAGATTTTAAACTACACCCTTGTCCGTAGATAAGCCATAGCAAAACAGCATATAAAATAAAGAAAGCCATTGCTGATCGAAATCAGATCGGCATAGTGAAATCTGCGGGCCGCGTAGGGAGCATACTCACAATATACAAGGCGGATAACACGAACATCGAATTCCCGAGTTCGCGCAGACAAAGCCTACGTAAACAAATACGTGCGGTACGTTGCCAAAAGAGTAAACTTAATGGAATGTTATTGACCGTGACCAACGCCGCGAGTAAGCCAGTCAAGAGAGATGCATTACAAACTATTCAGCAAATCGCGAAACAGCAGGCACATAAAGCAAAAACAAATGCAAAAATCTACGCTGACAGAAGGACGAAAATCCGCACATTTAAAGTAGGAGACTTAGTACTGTCACACGACGAGACGTTACGAAGAGGACGTTCGAAAAAACTAGAGGCACCATGGGTGGGCCCGTATCGCGTCGTAGAGAAAGTCTCCGATGTAAATTATAAAAA